GTGGCCTTCCCACTGCACGTGCGCCAGAGCTGGCAGTCGCTTGGAGCCTCAGAGCCAAACCTTTTTAGCAGACGAGCCCTGCACCCTCCCCAGATGCCGCTCTGCCTGATCTGCTGCTCTGCTTTCTGCTCCTCGGCCATCTCTGGTGCCTTATACAGAGGTGTGTTCACCTCCCGGCTCCTCCCTGCCGGGAGCCGGTGGTGCTGGAGTTTCACTGTCAAAGCTAGCAGGTGCAAGCCCTCCGGCCCAATAAACCCCTGACTCTACCTGGTGAGGCATGTTAGATCCATCATTGCAGCCTGGGAGGGACCCTTTCCTTCTTGCCCTGACCCTTACCACCCGTTAAGTGAATGGTGGCCGCTCGGATAAGCCCCGGTCACAGACCAGCAGCTCGATGCTGTTCAGGAGGGAGAGTCGCTGCTCAAGACACCTGCCCGTCTCAGCACGGTGACCACAGATGGGGAGCCAAGAGATGCACGCGAAGGGAAGTGGAGATATCACGGCATTCAGGTTTGAGCCAGGCCCCAACTTGTGGTCGTAACAGTGATTTCCCTTCCCTGGGAACAGGCTATCATTCAGCATCACAGCATCTGCCTGCGGCGAGCGAAGGTGACCTTGCACTGTCGGGACGACGGCAAAACAATTTAACGAGACGTCAGCGGGAAGGGTGCGGGGCCAGGAAGACGCTGGTTACCGTCACCACCGGCTCGGGGAAATGCAGTTACAACGTCCAGGCAATGCAAGCACAAGGCACTGCCAGGACGGCTTTGGCCCGGGCTGCGGAGGGAAACAACAGCCTCTCATCATCGGCTGCATGACGGCGGCAGGCTCTGCAGCCGAGCCGGCTCCACGGGCTTGTGAAGGAGGCTGGGAGCAAGCCTGAGCTTTGCAATTGCTAGCTTGTCCTGGCCTTGGGCCCCGGTGGCCCGTGAGAGGGTCTAGAGAAACAGGCTGCTGAGTGTGGTAGTGCTCAGCGTGTGCAAGGGGCTGTATGGGCAGAGGGGCAACCCCCTGCCCAAGGGCAGACCCCCTAGATGGATGTGATACACAAGCGGAGGTTTCTTTGGGCCATTCATGGGCTTGTCCTTGCATTATGTCCCCATCTAGCCCCTCCGGTGCCCTGCAACGTCTGATCGTTGTCACTTTCTGCCTCTGAGCCCTCTGCCATTTCTCCAGTCCCTTGGGTTTCTTTGCTTTGGAGCAGGGAGACCAGAACAAAAACCCAGCTGGACTGAGCCATCGCTAGACTCGGGGGCCAGAGGAGGTATATTGTCCTGCCAAGCACAGGGATTCCTCTTCCTCGAGCCCCAAACTCGTGGTTGAGAGACAGCGGCTGTTTTAGGCCAACCTGCGGCATAGACCCCTGAGGCCGGCTGCTCCAAAGGTGAATCCCCCTTATGGCTAAAACCTTTGGGCCTGATCCCTAGCTTGGATTCAGGCTCTTGCCTGCTGCGTTCCTCTATTATCAGAAATCCTCCGCACATTTAGGTCCCTGCACACTTCAGTCAAGTCCCTTCTTAACTCCTTTGAGCAAGCCAAAAAAAAGGCTCCTCCTAGGAGGTTTTCCAGCTCTGCCATAGGTCTCGTAGCACTTCTCCGAATCCCTTCCCCTTTCAGCCTCCCCATGGAAGTGCGCACAGTCGAGCTGGACCTCGGCATCCCACGGCCACGTCCCCAACACCATAGGCAGATATAGGACCACCCCTCTGCTCTGGGCTTGCTCTTTTGCTCACACCCAGTGCACCACGTGGGAGCTCACAGGTACTCATGTCCTGCTAGGACTCCCAGGCCCTTTCTGGCATCCCTGTTTTCCAAAACGCAGCCCCCATGTGCTGTATATTTTGTATCTGGACCCGTGTAGAGGTAGCTACAAGCCTGCATCAGGCTCCTGAGTGCTGACAACACGTGCAATTTGGACCATCAGGGTTAGAGGACAATCCCCAGCTCAGAGCTCATAATGCGCAGATGGAGGCGCTGGGGCATGGCCTGTGTTTTGCTCGCGTGTAGTGGATTTTGAGCACAGCAAGGGGGCTTATAGACCCCTGCCATAGCAGCAGCCCTCCGAGTCCAGGTTGTGAAGGGCTCTGTCCCCATCCTGCCTCACCTAATACTTGGTTTGCACTCATTCTGCTTCTTTCCCTTGCAGCCCAGATTTCAAGCCCGGCCCCGTGGAGGCCTCCAGTGGCTCTCTGGGATGCTGCCAGGGCAGATCCAGCAGCTCTGGAGCCCAGGCAAGCAGATGCAGCACTCGCAGGGTCACTGGAGGACACCATCTCTCCAGGGCTGCACTGCAATTGCAGCTTCCCTGTGCAGGGCTGGGCTTGTGGCACGTTTTAGTTAGCTGTGTAGAGACGCACTCCCACCCCATGGCCTAGCTAGACCCCTTCTCCATTGCTCTTCTCCCATCCTCACTGCTGATTTACCTCCAGAGAGGCTATACCTGCCCCAGCAGCTTCCTTCAGCACAACTTAGAGGCTTTGCTTTCCTTGCATTGACCTAAGAAGGGGTCAGACCCCAGCTGATTTCAACACCCCCTTTCCTTTGCTAGCAGTTGCTCAAGCAAGTTGAGTGCAAAATCACCTTCATCTCATCTTTGCCTCAGAAAATCCCCTACCAAATGCTTCCTCCCCAGAGCCCCAACAGCCTCCCAGCCCAGCAAAAGGGGCTCAGCCCTCCAACAAGCCCTTTTTAACCTGTGCCAGGGCGTCAGTTCGCTCTCCCAATCAGCCGGGCACCCAAGGGCAGGTGTGGCTCGTCTCCCACTTGGGCACTGCCTGCACCTGGGGCTGCTCCTGATCAGCCCTTTGTGGGACCCTCTCATCAAGTGTCCTCACGTGCATCCGATCAGGCACACAGCAGCTCCCAAAGACATTTGGGACTGAGGCCAGCCCCCTGCAACTGCAGATAACCAGAGTCAAGAGGATAGATTTGTCTGGGGGGGTTTGGACAGGGCTTGTGCTGCCTTAAGCAGGGGGTTGGACTAGATGTGACCTCTGCTCTGTGATTAACCAGGTAACGAACCCTTCCTCCCAAAAATCAGGACCCAGCACTTTGTCCCTCCCTAAAGAAATATAATACCTGTGCACAATAAGACAACCAGTTGTAGTAGGACTACCTCCAGGACACAGACCTCCTGGGATGGGAAAATCTACTTTCCTTTCCTCCCCAGTGTGTGCAGCTGCTGTGACATGGCCTTGTGTGTGCTTATTAGGTCTGCTGGGAGATGCTGCTAATTGGCCTGAGAGAATGCTCTTATCCAGTGTTTGGTTCAGGAGGTAGCCTGCAGCTCCCACCAGAACTAGAAAGAGCATAGCCACATCCACACCATGCTAGGAGCTGTTGTTTTGTGGCCCCTCACCAAATCCCTGGGCTAAAAGTCCCATTTCAAGGGTTCCCTGGGTGTGCTGCCCCCAGATCCAGGGCTGGCCCAGAGATTTCAGGAGGGCGCGTGACTTTTGTCCGCAACAACATGCGTGCCAGGAAGAAATTAAGCAATAAATCTGGGACTTCAGCAGCAGCGTCCTGGCTTTCACAATGCAGCATGAGCTATTCCCCGTCTGTCACTGGAAGGAGAAGCAAGAAGCTCTGACTTCTTCTCGTCACAGGTCCTCAAGCATCAGAGGGCTCCATCCCATCCGCCTGAAAGCGAGTCTTGTCATTTCAGACGCTCCTTTCTGCTGCATCCCCTGCACACCTCATGGTCACATTTTCCAGTGGGGTTTTTCCTGTTGCCACTGTATGAAGGACCCACACAACGCAGGAACTGGACAAACTGACCAGCAACCAAATGCCGTTATCAATGCACAACTTACAAAACAAGGGAGTAGCTATATATTTTTTCTACTCTATCACTTAGGGTCGCCCTGGGTATTGTATTACTCTCTAACGTGAGGCTAGCAGTCATGCCAGGCAGATCTGCTTTTAAAGCAGGAGATTTCCCCTCTGAGCAGACTGAAAGCAAAGCAACCAGCCAAACCCTGGCGATATACAGCAAGTTGCTACGTGCTTAATTATTAGCCAGTCCGAATGCTGAGTCACACCCAGTAAGTCTATAGTAAATGGTTTTTGATAACGATTTTGTGTGAGAGCTCCCATCTCTGAGAGCTACTTGAGGATAGCTATTTTTTTAAATTAATGAATAGCTGGCTATCTCCAATCCTGGGTAAACAGGAAAGAAACCACAGGGGCCTCTCCTCTTTCTGGGCTCTGCCCATAAAACAAACCCAGCCCTGTTTCTGGCAGGCCGCAGATTTCTTGGGGTGATCGCAAGGCTGTGGCTGGGCTCTTGGGGCTGCCCGTTTACCTCCCACGCCGGGAGGAGCAGACTCCTTAGTCCCGAGCCCCTGGACTTCACATCGGCCACGGGAGAAGAAAATCGGTGGCAACAGCTCACAGGCTACAGCGAAGCCTCTCCGCTGTGGCTGGCTTCATTGTATTTATGTGCACGTGGGTCACAAAGCCAGAGCCCAGCTGCCTCTCACCCTTTGCTCTCTAATGCACGGGTCCTTCCCCACCATAACTCCCCCTAAAGTCACTGCAGAGGCCAGGCTTCCCCATTAACTGGCTATGAATGCACTGGTAGGAGCTCAGGGAGCTGCAACTGTCTGGTCCCAGTGCAGAGAAGTAATCAGCAAGTAGCAGCACGCTCAGATGGTTTGACCTGTGGGGAAACTGAGGCACGGAGCAGCAGCGCTGTACAGAGGGCTCTGGGCATCCTTGCTTGAGGAAACAGAACTAGAAGGGAAGGGTGCAGGGGGACCTCGGTTGCTCTGGAGGCTCGGTGACAACCTGGGGTTGAAGTTAAACCGGGGGAATTTGCTTCTCAACTGCTCTGGGCAGCAGCAAGAGCCAGGCTGCCTGTGGCTGGGCCGGGGGCTATGGGGGTAGGGTCGAGGATGGCAGGTGGCTGTTCTGGGAGCTGAGCTCCAGGCGCAGCTTCTCCCAGCGCAGGAATGAGCGACCCTGCTAACGAACTGGTTCACGACTCTGCCTCTCCCCAGTGTGACCAGTACAAGAAGGGGATCATTTCCGGCTCGACGTGCAGGGACCTGTGTGACGAACACACGCTCGTGTTCCAGCACTGCCTCTCCTCGTCCCCCACGCAGCAGGTGGGTAGGGCTGCGCGGGGGCACTGGCATGGCGGGCACGTGGGATATAAAGTCTGGCTGGAGGGGAAGCCTTGGGTTAGTGCTGGGCCTACTTGGGAGGTGACTTGAGTGCAGTGGGCAGCTCCTTTAACTCACGTCTTTGGCTTGGGAGGCTGGTGTGCATGTTCCCCAAACCTCCACCACCTGCTAGGTCAAGGGTTGAGCTAGGGGCAGGTCCTTCCCTCTTGCCCCTTTGCTTGGTGCAGGATGACAGAGCAATGCCAGGGACGCCTGCCCTGCCACTGCCAAACTTGTTGAGAAGCTCCAAGTGTCCTGTCACTGCAGCAGCCAGCCTGCTCTTCACTGCAGGCAGTTGAAACGGGTGCCTGGAGCCTCATTAATCTCTCCCCGTGGGCTCATGGCCTCTGGGCTGTCCTCACATCCCTCCCTCTCAAGAACCCACCAGCTAATCCCTTGCATTGACTTTCCATCCATCCCTGCTTGACCCCTTCCCTTTCCTTTGGTCCAGGTTTACAGCGGGCTCTGGAAGGAGAAAGAGGTGATCATTAAATGTGGCATCGAGGAGGCCTTGAAGGTAGACAGCAACCCCGATTCTGCTCCCCGGAGGGACCTGGTACTCTTTGACAAGCCGACCAGAGGGACATCGATGGATGAGTTCAGGGAGATGCTCCTGAATTTCCTAAAAGTCAGTGTGGCGCAGAGCGAGCTCTCTGCCTGTGTGTTTCATGACGGTGTATTATATCCCCTCCCTCCTGAAACCCTGGGGCCAGGGAATGGCACTTGGCCCTGTGGAGGGAGCAAAACTAATTATGGACTTCCCTCCCCGTGAGAGCACAGACCTCAGGGCTGAAGGTCTCTGTCCAGAGCCACTGGTTCCAGGGTAGGGCTTTTCATGCAGCATTTTGTGATACTCAGGATAATGCCGGTAGCGGCAGATAACAAAGAAAGAGACTGCAGGAACCCCTCGGTTAGGAAACATGCCAGAAAAGTCAGGGGACAGTCAGTGTGAATGTAAATTCAATCCTCATGTTGATTTGCAATTCACTGAGTCAAGACTTCTTGAACATTTTGCTGGTGAGCGTGTTCATTTCTGCTGACTTTTAACTCTGAAACATAAATGAATTTTAAACCCAGGCTCCAATTCACATGCTGTTCTAGTCCCAGTCAACTTTCAAGCAGTTATAAAGACGCTCTCCACTTCCCTCGCTGAGATCTTGCACACCTCCAGTCCTGCACGCGGCGTGTAGCCTTGCTGTGTGCGGCTATGTAGCTGTTGTTCGCTCCCAAGCTGGCCGTATTTCTGCTGTGGATGAAGCAAGCCCTGTATTTTGTGTTACAGAAGCGTGTTTACAGAGGAGGAAGAAAGCCTCCAGGGTGAAAGATGTCCCTTGGCTATCATCAGCCATGTGGATGTCACTCTGAGTTAAGGCCTGTGACAGCTTATCTTGAGCCAGGCTGGCAGATGACATTGGAAGTCACCGTGTTAGGAAAACTAGCAAGGTTGAAATTAGTGACAGTCTCCTCCATCTAGAAGAAGGAGGTGGGGATCAACCCTGTGCTCCAGGCAAAGAATTGTCAAACTCATTTGATGCAGATGAAAACCAAGGTTTTCAGGCTCCTGCCACTCATAGCTACAGGCCTCCTTGTGACTTTCTGAGAACTGGCATCAACCTTAACTCTAAAACAATTCTCCTGGAATGGATCAATTATTGGACTCCAGTCCGCTGCCAGACTTACCATAGAGTAGCTGTTTCAGAAATTTGAGGAACACTTGCGCTGCTTTCATATCAACAGGCTAGATTCCTTCCCCTCCTACGAGCTTATTTGTCTAGCTGCACTTGCTGGTAGGAAGTAGGTTAAAACACAAAAGATGTAGCTCACAAGAGCAGCCTCTCAAAGCTACATTAAGGTAAGTGCTATTTTTTCATTAGCACGAATCTCCGCTGCCCCTGGGCAACGTAGCAGTTCACCGCACAGCATGGCTGCACCTAACGCAGGTAGCTACTCCTTCCTTTGACTTTTAAATCGTATTTTGCCAGTTTGCTTTGCAGAAATTGAACTTTTACTTCTTTTGTAATGAGGGTGTCATTCCTATTGCAAGGGAGGGGGGTCCTCTGAACACATGGCTGGAGGCATTGAGTCAATAGTTGCTGCATCTCCCTTGGGACAGGTCCCAACTGTGTCAAGGGCTTGATCAGCATTTGCTGTACTTAAGCTGCACCCTTGAAGATTTCTTAGGGTTTGGAGCACTCTCAGGCTGCTCCAAGATGCTGGTACGTATAGCGGTCCAGCTGTAATCATTGGGGCACAGCAGGGAATTTGCACTGCAGTTGGTCAAGAGGAACATGTTAGGAGCAGAGCACCCATGTACTCTGCTCCATGGGTTAATATATACCGGGGTGGGAAAAATACAGCCCAGGGGCTGGATCCGGCCTTCCAGGCCATTCTATCTGGCTAACGGGGCTCCTAAAAAATTAAAAAAAAATAATATTTATTTGTTCCTGGATGCCTGTCAAAGATGACAGGAGTCAGGGACAATAGGACCCAGGGGAAGCTGGCAGCAGGACCCAGCAGCGAGGCCCCTCCAGCCCTGCCTCCCCAACCAGAAGCCTCTACCTAGCAGAGGCTTCTGGCCTGGGACTGTGGGGCTGTTCCTACTTCCCTGCGCCGGAGAGGTAAATGCAGCCCTTGACAGCATGCCAAAACTTGGTAAGTGGCCCCCCGCCCAAAATAATGTCCGCCTCTGATATATACAGTGCTCAAGCAGGACATGGCATGTTTAAAGGAGCTGATGCAATTCCTCATTTACTTGCAGTCTAACCTCGGAGATCAGACATCCCTGGCAGCCTTGGTGAACCAAATCATCACAATGGCTGATGTGAACCGAGATGGGAAAGTGTCTCTGGCAGAGGCCAAGTCCATCTGGGCGCTTCTTCAGTTGAATGAATTCCTCCTCATGCTCTCCCTGCATGAGAAGGAGCACACATCCAAGCTGCTGGGGCACTGTGGGGACCTGTACATCACAGAGAAGATCCCTCACAACTCTCTCTATGGCATGGATGTCCCTCGCTTCCTCCAGCCACTGCTGCCCTCTGCCATCCACCGACTCGTTCATCAGTGGTTCGCCCCAGCTTGGCCCAGGCGAGCCAAAATCGCCATTGGCCTCCTGGAGTTTGTGGAGGAGATATTCCACGGCACATACGGGAACTTCTACATCTGCGAGACCAGCTTTAAGAATGTGGGGTACAACGACAAGTATGACTTCAAAATGGTCAATCTGAGGAAGGTGGCCACCGAGATGACAATCAGAGGTTTCCTCAAAGGACGTCACTGTGAGCAGAACGTGGACTGCACCTACGGCAAGGACTGCATGGCCACTTGTGACAAACTCATGAAACAGTGCAAAAGCGAGGTGGTCCAGCCCAACCTAGCTAAAGTCTGCAGGCTCCTGCAGGACTACTTGCTGTACGGAGCGCCGTCCGACCTGAGAGAAGAGCTGCAGAAGCAGCTACGAACGTGCATGACTCTGAGCGGCCTGGCTAGCCAGATGGAAGTGCACCACTCACTTGTGTTGAACAATCTCAAGACTTTGCTGTGGAAGAAGATTTCCAATACCAAATATTCCTAATGGGGAAAACACAACTGGGGGTTACCAAAATGGAATTTCATGGTGGGGAGGGGGTCCAGCAGGTCAAAGGTCTTTCCTCATTTGCTCCCCCAACAGAAACACACCATAAGCAGGGAGCTTGGCATAGCTGTAGCCCCTTTTCCTTCTTGAAAAAAAAAAAAGCATCCTGACCTGAACCACTCGGTAGCATCATCGATAGCATTTTTTAGGCCTGTGAGGGTATGATGCAGAGTAGGAATACAGACAACCTGGCTGAATGGGACTTCAGGAAGAAGCTGATGGGGTGGGGGTGGGGGAGAGAAGCAGGGTCTAATTGTAGCCATCTTTCTTTTTAATCCAGGAACAATCAGAAGTGGAAAAAGAGGGAAATAATTATCGCGTTGTAGTTGTCACATTTTATTTTGATGAACACCTCTGATGTAAATAAATAGCTTTTATGTGACTCGCATGGGTACATCAATAGCAAACAGCAGCCTTTTAAAGACCAGCTTCCTTGTGATATTTTCGAATGGTGGGTTACCATACCCAGAGGAACTTGCACAATTATTAATTTTTTTTAACATCTGAATCAGGCACTCTCGAATGCAGCTGTTGTGTAGGGAGCAGACAGAGAGGCTTTTCCATGTGTGCTTACACTTTTGGTTAATGTTATGCATCTATTTAAAGTGCCTGACTTCTGTAAAGAGGGGGGCTGGGAAATTCCAGGCTGCTCAAATTGCTGCTAATACTGGCAGAGGATGGCATGGCTGCCTGCTAGAAAAATGAACCACCCCAACATGTTGTTTTGGACATTTATAAGAGGAGTGCAGTTGAAGGTACACAGTGATTCCCATGAACCAGACCTATAGAAAGTCTCAGACCTAAGACACACGGTGAATACAGTAACGTATATAACTGCTATGTGCTAGCAGTTAAGATATCTCATTCCAGACTTGCTCAGGGCTTTCACTTGTCAACCCCCCTGTAAAGGGGAACGTGTCATTACTAAGGCTGAGATTCTGAGCCAGAAATAATGGGGGCTGCACCGCTCCCTTGTTTGGGGTTGTCCACAGAAGCTGGCATACCTCAACCGCACTAGCTCAACAGGTTACCTGGGCTCGTGTGGGCCTTGGGCCTTTTTTAATAGTACAAACTTTCCATATAAAGGGAAATCAGCAGTGTTCAAATGCCAATTCAGGTCCAAGCGCTTTGCTTCACTTAATCATTTTAAAATGAAGCCAAGCTTTGCTTGCAAAAGCAAAAAGCTAATACCGCATTAGCACGTTTCTTTGCCCACGATTAAACGGAGGCAATACTTCAGTTGGCAACAAGGAAAGCCTCTCAGTTGGCTGCCTGACCACTCCCTGCTTTCAGACTCCAGACCCCATTTATGTTCAATTATAACAACCCTTTCAGGCCACGGATGGAGGGGAAGAGTTTAATTTCTGTGAACTACAGTTAGCTTGTTCTCCATTTTCTAAGCATTTTACTCATATTGACAGACCATATGCCAGTTATCCAACAACAGTTGGTTAGCGAAGCGAAGCGCACATTTGGGAAACAATCAGTGGAAGAAAAAAAAAAAGTCCCTCTCGAAATATATGGCCTCTGAAGGCAATCTTTAGTGTCACAGCTCTAAACTTATGAGCCCTTTGGAGAGAAGATACCAGCGTTTCCTTCTATTAGTTCTATAGGATCATCATTACCTCTCACCGTTATTTATGGAGAAAATGTTTTAGTGTCAGCGATGCTTTAAATCTAGCATGCAGTCATTGTAACTTGCTTCCCAGAGAGGCCAGCTTTGCAACACAGTAATTCATCTACCAGAAGGTTAAGCATCTTTGGCTTTTCAATCATTTATTTATTTATTTTGGTGTGGAGGTACTTTTTTTGTACAAGCAAGCAACATTTAACTTCCTATCAACAGTGCAAAGATGCAAGTAAACCGAAGCTTTAGACTGGCATATGCAGGGCATCTGCTATTATAAAAGGGGAGAGTTTGGGAGGAAAAGGTTTGGAGGTTTTCCAGTCAGCCTGGAATTCAGTTTTAATGATGATAAATTCAGATGTAGTTGCCATGGCTATTGTTCTACTATCCTATATTTCTATGGCAACCAACCACATTGACAAATTATTTTTGCTTTTCTACTAGGAAAAAGGTGCTTTTCAAAATATATACATACAAATAATCCTCTTCAAATTTCTGGAGATTATTATTCATAGTCCAGTTGCTTTATAAATGAAGGCTTGAAAGCTGATTGTAACCTACATTTTCCCAGAGGACCGGCACTGTCTCTTTACCTTTTAAAGAAGTCTTCATGCCACTGGTTTTCCAAATGAACAAGAAGTCAGGAGGGTAAAAGTCAGGAGGTTCGTGGATGATATAACATAACTGTAAATGATATCAAAGTCCCTTCTCTATAAGAGTCTACAATGGGAAGGTGAAGCTTGATGCTGAAGGTACCCGATGTGTCTAACAGAGATAGAATTAGTTAAGCCAACAGCTATTCAAATAAAACCAGTATTGACAAAAATGAACACTCCCTCTCCAAGTCATTCATTTACAGTTTATAGTCATTTCCATGGTGTGCAGGTACAGTGGACCGTTTCTACCATTCCCCAAAACCTTGCATCCTATTTAGAATGGGACCACATCCTTCCTTTCCTGGCTCAAGAGATGTGTTGCATTAAAGGAAATTTAAAAAGCAGATTCTTACTGCCATGGTTTAGCATGTGTGGCTCTACCCTAGGGTAGTGGCAAGGCGGCAGGAGGGAACAAGGCTAAAGATGCATTGCGTTGAGTGCAAGAATTTCTCAGATTTGTTAAATACTGTGCAGTTATATCAGGTAAGAAGGAGACAGAGCCTTGAAATGCACAGGGAAGGCCACACAATCTAGTCTTGCCTTATACTAGCATTGTAGACTGATGCCAGGTTCAAGTATTTTTAAACAATACAGTCTAGGCATGAGCAAAATTTCCCAGCTTTGGCTAGTGGAGGCAGAAACCAGTTTGAATAATGTCCTGTATGTACTCAAAGAAAAAAAAGTCACAAATGCCAGAATGGGTAAAACATATATTACTTGCAAGGTTGCGACTACATAAATGCAATTCATTTTAGAATAGTTTGCGAAGTTTTTCTCTTTAAACTGGCACTTAAATGAAATGTCATGACAGATTGGGAGGAGGTGGCTGAAAACTTTTAATTTCTTTATACATTATTTCATCCAGCTGCTCTTCTGAGAATATCTGAACATGGAGGCAAAAATGGAAAATGCACAAAGATCAAAATAGCAGTAAGAGTTTATTCTTAGAGCACTAACAAAGCTGATAGGAGAAAATGTCAGAGAATGTATTTATACCACTGCCCGTTGTGTTCACGAGCTGTAGTGCTTACAGCACATTTCAACTAGTGCATCGTAGGCAATGAGGTTACAAACTAGGAGACTTCAAATACCAACTCTGTGGAGTTTCCTTTGCTGCTGCCATGATTGCTAGGTTACACAAACCCTGAGGCATCATCGGTGAATGGAAGAGCCCCAGGATATAAGAAAATAAGAATTTCAAATAAATGTTCTTAAAAGTAAGCATCAAGTGTAAGCAGCAAATGAATGTGTGCACTTAAAGACCTTACTTGTTAGTCAGTACAGCTTCTGAGTGCCTTGCACACTATAAATAAATACGATTTTCTCTTCTGATTGCAGCAGGGAGAAAAAGTCTTCCGCCCATTGTTCAGCGAGAAAGTCTTCCGTCCATTGTTCAGCATCTCTGGATCTCCAAAGTCAGTTGTGACTCAGGGACTATTTAGCCTAGGATTCAGCTCACCAAAAGACAGCTTTGCAGAATTAAATTGGTTTTCCAGGAAAGTTATTACGATGACTAATTGAAGTGCAAGTACCCAACGTATTTAGTCACTTTTTAACGCCCATTCCTTGATTTCACTGACATTAACTGGAGTTCAGCAGCTTTGTACTTTCCTAGATCTGGGTCCCAGCATCCCAACACAGTGGCGTATGGGCATTACTCAGATATCAGGCAGCTAATATGCTATGAGAGGGTGACAAGTCATGCTAGCATCGAGGGCCAGACATAAGCACCTGTGCTGCTGTTAAGTCTGTAAGAACCTAGGGTCATAACAACAGACAACAATTTGTGGCATACCTATATCAAGTTTCTGTATTGGACTGTGGAACTACAGTGAACCACCAGCTTCAGGAGATGGGTCATTCAGAAAAGAAATTAAGGGCCTGGGACAGCTTAGCAAATGGTGGGCTATTTTCTGCATTCCTTTCTTCATCACAAGGATTTTTTATGTCACTAATACCACCCAGTCATTACTGTGTAATGTCAGTGTGCTCCTACCTGCCGACCAGCCAAGGAGGAATGGAGCATTAATGCTGAATTTTAAAGTTGAGTAGGTCGGACTAGGAAGGCAGAGTCCTTGTTCCATCTCCCAAATCAAAACCAGAGGCTGGGCAGGCTGGCTTGGGATTGATGCGAAGCCACTACCCACCTAGAGGAGCAGGCACCAAATTAAGAGTGCATGAAGCCACGATAAGCCACATAGTTAAAGAATCCATGTCAGTGTAATGTCTATGCTGAGGGCCTGCAAGAGGAGGGGTGTAAGGAGGGTGAGAGATGTACTAAGGACTTACCTGTAGTATGGCACTGCCACTGCCAGCAGAGCCCCATCATGGGCACCTAGCTGATGCCAGCAGGAAAGGGTTTTCTGCCACATTCATGATGTCCCCACCTGCCTTCACTATCCTCCCATCCATACTGGAAGGGTGGAGAAAGCAGGAAGTTGGGTGGGGTAGGTTTGAGGTATACACTTCTTTAGCAGACACAGCAATGCCAGGAAAGTTTTTTTTAGCTTAGAGCAATGGGGGCCAACCTTCTTGGCAGGTGTGCCATAAATTAGCCCCTTTCTCTGCCTGATCTGCTGCTCGGCTTTCTGCTCTATCTGCCACCTGCCCCCGCTCCTATCTGACCTAGACCTAGGCTGAGCAGCTCTCTTCCATTCTTTAACCTGATACCGTCCCTTTGCCACTCAGCAAGCAGGGGATTACCCTAGGAAAACAATCTTGAATTTTGGCTCTTGGTATTGAAACTGGTCGCCTTCACAGCCAGAAAGAGCATTACCCAGCATGCCACAGACCTAAGCCCTGGGCCTTCTGAAGTCTATTTTGAATGCAGGGATTTAGGTTTTTTTGTTTTTTTTAAGCTCAAAAGGGAAACCAGGCCTTGCCAAGGGTAAACTTTTCGTTTTTCAAGCGCACTCCAGCAGATTGGATCTGGCTCCTAGTTATGTCCTGAGGTTTTATTCCTTTGCTATTATGCAAATTGCTTCCTCTCCTTTGGGCTCCTACTTTCACTAATATTATAGAGTGGCAGTGGTTTCCAGGCATATTGAATAAGGTTCGATACAAAGCCCCAATCTTACTACCAGAGCCAAGAGCTGCAGCTAGAGCCAAGGGCAGTTAATGAACCAATAGGATGCAGAGACCTACTTACAGGAATATCCATGTTTGAAGAAATTACTGCTATATAGAAAGCATCGCTTCTGAGGCAACCCTAAGCTAAATTGGTCCTTCACACAGGCCTTTATGGTAATATTAAATTGCATAATGTGCCACAACTGGAATTTTTAAACAAATTTTCTTAGTGGTTTCCAGTTTACTTAACTTAGTATCTCACTATACCCTTCAGTAAGATTTTCTCAATTACATGTCTGTGCTTTTTAATTCCCCAAATTTGTGCCGTATAACTACATTTAGCAATATTGTCATAGTTCAGGGCACATCCAACTATGCATCAGTTCTGTTTCTAACCAACTCAGATGTTCTTAGGACATGTAGTTTAATTTTAAATATGTAATAATATAAACTTGAAAAACGTCCCATGACAAATAAAAATCGCTCGACCTTATATTGCATTTTCCCTTGAAAAATAAACTATCAAAGGCCTGATACTGTATTAAACCTGTCAAAGTCCTAATCTGACCCCTCCGACGGAAGCAGCCTGGTGATGCACTCCCCTGCAGGGAACTGCACACAAAAATACCTTGAAAAATGGTTGAATTTAAGGTGAAGTTTTTGTGCTAATCCATTTTCCAAACTGCCATCTAAGTGAATGCTTACAACATACAGCTTGCATCTTCAATTCATTTCCTTGTACCCAGGCCCTGGAACAGTGACCTTTCATTACGTAAGAGGATTACTCTCATCTCTGAATCTCCGAGTAATCATTGGTTTAAGTCAGACCATTACCTTAATTATGCAGTTTGTCCAAAAAAGCCATTAACTTAAATTCTTCTCTGCATCTCATAAGAACTGTAATTATTCTGATCACTTTTTTGCACATTTATTTGCCTTTCCACTGAGACAGATGGAGGTCACAAAAGCTCAGTTCCTAAAAATTCAATATTTACATTTTTGTTATTTGCGACTTGAATACGCCGTAAGCGCTGGTAAAGACTTAATTCCAGAGGACTCCACTGTACAGTGTAAACTGCTCTAAATGGTAGTAAGCCAATATTTGCAAAGATTTTGGAGCCCCCTCTGCCCCCTTTCAAAAACATGGAGTGCTGACCATCTGCCCAAGAGCCACTGTGTTTTAACGCCTCAATTCCACCCGATCTTCGGCTATTCCTTCCCAGTTTTGTCCGTGCTGATTTGTGAGCAGTACAATGGAACTCAGCACATTTCCTGAGGATTTCAGTAAAAAAAGAAAGCTCTACCTGATAAGGTGAAGTTTTCCAAAAGCCTTATTAGGTGCTCACTACCCCTTGTGGAAACCTTGATCTGATTAAAGGCTCGTGAGAACTCGAACATGTTTTTCAGGGTTAAAAGCCAGTAATTTTAAATTAAACAGTCACATCTTAATGCATGAGTCTTCGCACAGCAACAACCACAACAACCTTATTAGCATTCTTTTAGGAATCCACTGTTATTAGGCAGTGCCTTTTCCCAATTAAATGGCTCATTTTGCAGCCAGCAGCTACCCGCTTGGTTAATGGCACCTTTGGCCCCAGTAATGCCCATTTAATAAGGACATTTTCCAGCATTTAGCACAGTCAGATTTTGTCAGGCTATTCGTCATTACAGAGCCTTCAGGAGTTTCAGAATGCTAAGTGTAGTCATAACCCATGCATCTCTCATCACCTGGAGGG